CCCCTGATCATGGACCATGGTCTCGGGGACCACGGGATCCTGCCCCAGATCATGCACCATGGGAGCCTGCCCCTGATCGTGCACCATGGGCTCCTGCCCCTGATCGTGGACCACGGTATCCTGCCCCTGATCGTGGACCACGGGATCCTGCCCCATATTGTGCACCATGGTCTCTTGCCACTGATCATGCACCATGGGCTCCTGTCCCTGATCGTGGACCAGGAAAGGACATGGGTGAAAAATGTGTGCACTCTGAGTGAGGTCTGAAGTTTAGTCAGGAGCAATTTCTAATAAATTGTTAATTTCTTACTCTGGCATTCATTCCGCCCTGTGCTAGCTGTTCACGGGGGTGGGGGTGGGGGTGAGGGGAGTTGGGTGAAGGCAAGCAGGAGTCTGTACTGCTTTTGCAACTTCTCTGTATGTCTAAAATTATTTCAGAATTGACAAAATATTTGTGGGCCTTCTTCCGTATATGGAAGGCCCTGGTTCTGTCGTTGGGGGATACAATGCCCGCCTTCCTGGAGCTTACCTACTAGTAGGAGGGATGACATACAAATGAAAGAAGCATGATAAGGAAGGATAAGGCGTTGGGGACAGCTGGCTGGTCAGGGTGAGGAAGGCCAGTGTAGCTGGAATGCAGCAAGGGAGAGGCGCACAGGGGCCAGAGCATGGTGGGCTGCGTCGGCTGCAGTTTGGACTTTATTCCCGTGCTGGTGGGGAACAGAGGAGGCACAGGGTTGACAGAGAGGCCGCTGTGGAAGGTGCATGCAGAACAGGCCACCCAGAGCTCCGAGTGAGGAGAGGGCACCTACAGGGGGTCCCTTGAGCGAGAGCTTGGCTTCCGTGACGGCGGGATTGGGGATGGGGTGGGGAGGTGGTAGGAAGAACTCGGATTCCGGGCTCATTTTGAAGGTGAGGTCACGAGATTGAAACAAATGGATCAGACGTGGAAGGCGAGAGAAAGCAATCGGTTCCCAGCAGCCCTGAGATTTTTGGCTTGAACTGGACATCCGGAAGAAGAGAGGTTTGAGAAAGGAGACACGGGTTCAGGAGAGAAATCCACTTCATCAGTGTTTGAAATACATACTTGCCAAACACTTGGAGGGTAAAACAAGCCCTGTCGTGACTCTTCTGGAAAAAAAAAAAAGACAAGAACCGACATTTATGGAGTGCCTGCCGCGGGCCGAGCAGTGTTAACACACCATGCATGTGTCAGCTCATTTACTCCCCAGGGAAATGACATCCCCACTTCACTGACGAGGGAACAGGCACGGCGCGAGCAACAGACCTTCTCTTTCATGTTCAGAAGGTTCTAGAAGAATGGCCAGGTAAGAGCTCATCGGCCATGGCTGATGACTCAGCTTGCTCATCGAATGTCTGCTGTGTGCCCGAGAGGCCGTGTCCATGGGGGAAACGGTCAACTGGTCGCACAGTGTGGTCAGTGCCCTGATGGTGGAAATGCCAGCCAGGCTGGAGTCCTGAGAGGGCCAGGGAAGCCCACCAGGATTGAGAGGCCAGGTGTGGAGACGGGGTGGGGGGGTGAGCAAGGAGGCTATTGAGAGATCCAGGTAGGACCAAGGGTGACAGGAAGACATCAAGGCTCCCACGTGGGGCAACTAGAGAAGCATTTGGTCCTGGACAGATTCCCCCGAGCGTCCCTATCTGAGGTGACCTGGCGGAGAAACCAAGTTCTTGGAGCTGCAAACCAGTTCCACGGTGTTCCCTGACCTCCGTCTTGGTTTCTAAATGGCAGCTGAAGAAGAGTCAGGGCAGGTGACCGTTGGTGCACAAGGCCGGGGCTCAGCAGGAGTCGGAAGCGGATCAGGCGGGCGCGGCTCCATCCCACGCTGCCGATCCAGCCCGGTCCTTGGCCGTGTGCTCTCCCTGGGGCTCGCTCCCGGTGACCCCCTCCGTCCGCCCTCCCCGAAGGTGTGGCATCTCCGAGGTGACTGGGGGCTGTAGGGAGAGGCCAGATACGTGTCTCTGGCTCTGCACTCAGGGCCTCGCTCGCGGTGTCCAAGTCGGTGATCCCGAAGTGGTGCCGAGGGGCCACGGGGACGGAGGACGGCCTTCTCGCTAGCCCCCCCGGGCCGGGGGAGGGAAATCGCGGCCCCCGCTCCTCTGCTCTGGCAGGTAAGCACGCTCCGGACCGCGGTGTGGCCGCCGCCGCCGGGCCGTCCTCACCAGCCACCTCCCGGTCCCTGCTGCCCGTGCGCCGCCATCTGCCTGGAGGCTGCGGCGCAAACCTCTGTGGGCCCCGAGGCCCCCCGCAGCCCCCAGCTACCTCATCCGCCAGCAGGCCCTGCTCCTCCTGTTTCTCAACAGCCCTCCAACCCGCCCCGGTCTCCCCCTCCTCACAGCCCTCCGTCACCCCGACTGCCCCTTCACCCTCTTTCCACACCGCAGTAAAAGTTCTAGAAGGTCCATCGGCGCCCGTGTTTAACTCGCTTAAAACTGAGTCCCCGCCTTCCTCAGAAGGGTCTTAATTCTCGAGTCTGGCCTACACATGACCTCGGCATTTGGTGTGCGTCTACACCCGCCGCTCCCACCCGCACGCCTGCCCCCCTGGCCCCCTTGCCATCCCCTCTCTGGAACACAGCCCCCTCCCCACCTCTGACAGCCACCTCGCTTGAAGCGTCCCTCCAGGCAGCTTTCCCACGGCGCGGGAGCACACTGCACTTACCCGTGGTGGTGGCCCTGGCTCCGTGTTGGAACCACCTGGTCTCTCCCGGCATATCTCACTGCTGCGAGCCACGTCAGGCCTCGGGCGGCGTCTGTCCTGTTTCCTGCAGTGTCCCAGTGCCCAGCCCCAAGGAGGCCGAATGACTTGAGGATGGAGCGTGAGCGAGTGACCGGACACGGGGGCTGGGGAGAGGGAAGTAAAGTCCAGGATGGTCTGGATTTCCGGACTGAGGAGGAGGGGGAGGAGGAGGGCAAGGAACCGAGGACTTCCGGGCAGGCAGGTGGAACTATGAGATCTGCAGCCACAGATTCGGGAGTCACGGGGAAGGATGAGCTGACTTAACAAAAGTACTGGGAGAAAAATCATCCTGAGTTTGAACTCAGTTGACTGTTTCAGCTGCCTGCCTGCCCATATTAGCGGAGTGGAAGTCGAATTGGACAAGTATTTCTCAGAGTGCGGTCCACTGATCCCTGCAGCAGAGTCGCCTTGGGGAGGAGAAGGCATTTGATGAAGATTCCTGGGCCTGACCTGCCACTGACTGGCTCAGAACCTGGGGCTAGCCTGGGAATCTGAATGCTCACTGGCTCCTGGAAACCACAGGTTGGCTTTCCCGGGGAAAAACCAGTGGGTGAGGCACTAATGTGATGGGCAGCCCAGTTGTGACAGAGCCAGGACATGCACCCTCTGACGGAGGCAAGCTGATGGAGACTGGATGCCAGCGGAACCTGGAAGCACCCCCCCACCCCCCCACCGGCTGAATTAAGGAATGGGTTTGCGGGCCGCCCCGCCCGGCCTGGGAGCTGGCTGCTCCAGGGTCATACACGCTCGTGAGAGTGGGAGTGGGGAGGGGGGAAGGGGGAGGTGGGATGGTGCATAAGAGGGGATTTTTTTTTTTTTTAATGGGAACGTATGTAGTAAGAGCATTGTGAATGTTTGTGGACTGTTGGACGGTAATCACTGATAGAATTCAAAAGACGAACGTTTCTTTCCAAAGTGTTTTGAGAGAGAAAAGTAAATAGCAGAGTCCATACACAAAAAAAAGGCAAAACTAAAAAAGTAAAAGCAAATAAATATGTGTATTTTCATAAGAATTGGCTGACAAGTCAAAATGTAACACAGAACAGGAAATGCAAATGGTAAAAATCACCCTATTGAAATGAAATGATTATTCTGTTAAGAAATAAAATGCAACAATGTGTATGAAGAACACCTAACACAAAATGACAAAGGTTCAAAATAAATGGCTGGTCAAAGATATAACACCAGAATTCTAATAAAAGGACACAGGGGTGGCAAAATTAATATCAAAGGATAATTTAAAGCAAAAAGTATTACAAAGGGCCAGGATACAGAGATAAATTACATTACAAAATACATCATAAAACTTCCTGCACCGATAATGTAGTACAAAAGAAAAAAGGACAGCCCAAAATTGCAGTGGGAAATTTTAACTCCTGCTACCTGCCTAGGACAGAGTCTGAGGTCTTGACAGGGGCATAGAAGAAACAGAAAATACACCCAGGATAGAATTAATTGGTTTCAAATCTTAATGCCTAGCGCCGCACTTCCGATAGGACGCCTGTGTGACTAACACTCTGAAATGCAGTAAGCGTGGCTGAGGAACTAATTTTTAAAGTTTAATTGAATTTTAATTGAACTCATTTTAGTTAAAATTCAGTTAGAAATTTTTTTCTGTTAAATGCAACTTTATTATTTGGTAGAACTACATTTTACTTTAACCATCGAAAATTTAGCTTCCAGATTTAGATGTGCTGTGAAGGTACAATAAATACTGTTTTGAAGGTTCCAGAGAATGTTTGTAAGAACCAATCATTACTAGATCGCATTGCAGTAAGAGAAAATTAGAGTCCAAGGGACTTTAAATCCAAAGGGAACTTTCCTTTATTAAAAAAAAAAAGGAAATGAAGAACTAAAAGTCTAAAAATAAAAATGAAAATGCTAAACATCAACATCAACACCTGCAGGATGCAATCAGCTTTAACACAGTCCCAGGTCAGTCATTTTACCCCTTTCAGGGTCTGACACCTCTGAGGATGGGATGCAACAGACCCTCTCCCTAGAAAAATGCACACACATGAAGACTTCTGCGTATCATCTGAGGAGGGCCACCCGCATCCAGAAGCCCCCAGGCTATAAAGTGTCATCAAAGTGAAAATAAATTAACTAAGCAGGCAATTAAGATTCAAGGAAAATTAAACAACCCTCAAGGAGACTGGGAAAATGTACAGCAAGATAAAAGCCAGGATAAAAACAGAATTGTTAAATCCATGAGCTGTTTCTTTGGAAAAAAAAATCAAACAAAACTAAGAAACAGCACACTGCTAGAAAATAAATCAAGGAAAGAAACTCGGCATCAATATTGTTAGAAATGAGAAGGAACGTATGTGACCAAAAACAACACGTTCAGAATTAAGGGAGTACTCCGCACAATTGCGTACTAATACATTGGGAAAACTCCATTTTTTTTTCCCCTATAAAAATCCAAATTACCAAAATTGATAGAGGAAATAGAAAACCTAAATCAACCACCAAAAAAGGAAGTTCCTGTTTTTTCTAATATATAAAAGATGTATTTTCTGCTCTCCAAAAAGGCATCGAGATGTGATGCATTTGCTTGTAAAATTATTTCCGATTTTTGAGGTGGAGTCCACTCTTTCAACAGTCTGTGTTCAGCTAACGTTCCCTGGGTGCCTACTCTCAGCCCAACGGAGTTGTCATGTGAGGTCAACGTTCCTGTGTCACAAAAAATGACTGGAAGGGCATCAAATTCATCCTGTGAGGCACACTTGACCTCCCTAGACCTGACAAGGGAGATAACCTCCATAAGCTTTGTGGAGAGATCAACAGAACAAAAACTGGTCTATGTGTGTGTATGTGACTATCTGATCATTATCTCTTCTAGAATGAGAACTCACACGCACGAGAGCAGACAGGAAGTTATTTATGTAAACAGTGCGTATAAATTAGTAACATCAAGACCTCTAAGTGAACAAAGATTTAAATAAGAGAAGCTGACAAAATGTTTACTGAAAGATGTTCAAGCTCAAGTTAAATAAGACAACAAGTACTATCGTACATGTTAAATTAAATTGATTTTCCCCCAGAGCACACATTTTGCCTTGTGTCAGCCCTCTACTCTTAGCTCTGGCGTGGCCCATTTTCCTGAAGATTGCCTGGCTTTCTGAAACAGGTAGATTGCAACGTGCCTAATCTGCTAATAAGGGCAATGAAAGCATAAAATAGCAGCAGGCAAGACACACCAAGTGCTGCTCGTTTGTACGCGTTTGCCCGTTCTGAGCAGCGGGTGATGTTAAGCACTCTTCAGACACACTTGCTTTGACACCTATAAATGAACAGCATGGAGTAACAGCCCAGACAAATGCAGTTTTTAGCAGATTATTAAAACAAAGCATGTGCTTTTTCTCACTTCCCTGCTTGTTTAAAAAAAATAAATTGAAGTGAGACGGACCCCCGTGTTGTCTGTGCCTTTTTATCACCTGGTAACTAATGCTTATTGAGGAAATAACCTTTTACAGAGAAAAATCAATACTTCAGTCATACCCAAGCTCCATCCTGCAGGTGAACCTTTCTTCCTCATCAACTTCTATTTCTTACCTGCCTCATTACTTTGGAGTTCTAGCCAGAAGCAGGAAGTGTCAAAAAAATCATTTTGGAAACTTGACCTGAAATTTTCAATTGAAGTAGCAGAAGACTGGTAAATCTGGTTCCAAGTGGAGTAGGATGCCCAGGGCCATCGATACAACCACACTGTGATCTGGCACAACAGAATTTTCTTAGGGTGTCTCATTAGGTATTGATGGCATGAAATAATTACTGTCAAAGTGGCCTTGTTGTCAAGGGGATGTGAACAAGCAAATCATCTAACACCAAGAGAACCTGGTGATACATTAAAATTGCATTTTGGTAGGATTTTAGCATGTGGTGGATTCAAAAGTGAAAAAAACCCCAAAACGTTCTTTACGCCATGGCTTGTGTTGCATAAACGACAAGCGGCCAAGGACAATTTTCAGTAGGTGGCTCCTGCTTCAGCATTCAGTCTTATGAGAAGTCTGCTTTTAAAAACTTCTATTGACAAACTGCACTTTTTACACAAAAACTTTTTGAGCTCCTTGATAACTGTTGGGAACAAATCCCTTGCCCCACACGTCCCTGAAGAGCGGAAACAGGACTCGGTGCCGTGGCATCACCGGAGGGGGTAAACTGGGTGTTATGCAGAATCAGAGCGAAGTGAATGGCTGGAGGCTGATGGCTCCCGAGCGCCCGGTCAGATCTGTCTTCACCTGATTTGCAAAATGTTTAAATGCACTCAACAAATACCTTCTCCTGCCTCAAAGAGATTTAGCTAAGGTCGCCAAATTGGTGCAGCCAGTGGTTATGAAAACAAGGTTCACAAACCGTTGGGTCAAGTCCCACCCGATGTATGAGCTAAGTATCTAAGCTAAGAAACACTGGTAAGAACACCATCTAGTTCTGATTATTAAGGGGACACAAGAATCACTGGACTGACCTGATTACAATGGATCCAGGGACTATGTGGTTCATAATGCTTTTGGCAAGCAGCATGACGAACAGTGCCGTGGTGAGGGATGAGGCAGAGGCCAAAATGGTCTTCTAACCGAAACGTGGCCTCGCTGTTCCCCTTCTTCAATGGTACAATTACAATAACATGGTAACAGCGTCACCATTTGCAAAACATTTCTCACAGACTCACGCTCATCCTTCATTTGCAGATAAAATAACCGCGGCTGAGCAGTCTCAACAGCTTTACCTCTAGGTTCAGACAATGTTAAATTCAGAGTAATGCATATTTCTAAATAGATGCAGGAAGGTTAAAAGCAAGGTCTTTCGAGATTTAGCCAAAGTTTGACCGTAAGCTCTGCCACGTCCTGGCGGCTTACCATTTTAGCAAGAGATTCTGCCCCTAAGAGCACGTGGTTTTCCCTAGCGGCTGGACCCAAGGGGAACGACATCTCGCTTGTACCTGCTGTGCTGGATGGCATCCTACTGTCACCAGCCTGCGAACAGGGCAGAGAGCAAAGACAGGTCTGTTGTTTCTAAGGAACATCAAAAAGAAACTGGCCCAGACCGTGATGAGAAAGGAAGTGGAAAACAGACCTGTAATTTGTTCTAGGATTGACCACGATCTGTGGGGGACACAGATCTGATCTACTCGAACAGTTATAGAACTAAACACCAGGGCTCCTACTTCAGTGTTGTGTGTGTGCAGGCTCTCAGCACGGATCTGGGAATGCATGAGTACCCTGGAGCATGGGAACACCGTCTGAGAACAACTGTTGTTTGGGGGGGGGGGGTTACTCTGGAAGGTAGAGCCTGGCTCCCAGCCAAGGAATGTTCAATACATTATACATACACCTTCTGAATAGGTGTAGATAATTTTATTACAAAGACAGGATGGGAGGGGAAAAAAGCCACTCAAAGTTTCAGTAATTCAATAATTTATTCCTCTAAAAAAGTGTGTAAAAGTATATAGCTCTCATTCACAAGGTATATATGAATGACATTTAAAATGGAGGCCTTTTAGTATTGTTTCTTTTTATCAAAGTCTTTAGTGTACTGTACCAGCGCTATACTGTAGTTTTAAATGAACTTCACATATTTTTGTATTCTTTCAAATTGTTTGCCATATATAAAAGAAGCTCACTGCAAAATGCTTGAAGGAAAAAAGGAAACAAAAGAAATTCAGAACTTCCCAGAAATGTACAGCTTTTACATTTAAAAAAGGTTCTGAAATATACATACAAGCATGCTGGACAATCCCACCCCTCTCCCCTCCCCGTTTCCCCTTTTTAGTTCAAACCATGGTAAGAGTTCTGATTTTTGCAGAATTTCCAAAATTAAAAATAAAAAAAAAAATAAAATAACTTCTCACTCTGTAGCAAATCCAGGGCTTGTACATTTCAGATTAATTCAGTAAAAAACTCACAAGTAAAATAATGCATATTTAAGGGAAATATTATACAGACTTTTTCACACAGAAGTACATAATAAGATTTTTTAAAATCTATTGCCATTCATTTATTTTTGCACAAAAACGTATAAATATGTCACCAGCTTTTCTTAACTTAAAAAACTTAAATAAAAGACACCAGATGAAAACTACCCTTTGCTGCCTTTTTTTTTTTTTTAATTTTTGTAGGGGTTTTTTATTTTTTGTGTTTTTTTTCTTTTTTTGCTTAGAATTGGGTTTCTAGGGAAGAAAAGCCCCTGCATTAAAAACAGCCCATATTAAAAAAAAAAAAAAAAATTCAAAGTTCTGATGAATTCTGGGAAAAAAAGCAACCCCAAAGTGGTAAAAGATTACAAATATCTACTTTACAATTTGTCTTCTCACCAAGATAATTTTATACAAGTTTACAATCTTCATCATCTTATGCTCTTCAAAAGGCCTTGAGAATTTTTCCTTTCTGATTAAGAAAAAATAGCACTGCAATATTTTTAAAGTCAATTTTACACTGTACACATTAGATACAAATGGTTTGATATATCAGATTTTTTTTTTAACCTATACATTGCGAAAGTCACCCCCCCCCTCAATTGGTGGTACAGAGAATAAAATTATCCATTTACAAGTTATTTCTCTGCTTACATATTCCCACCACACAACTTTTTTTTTAATATAATGTTTTAAACGTTAGATTATTTCAAGAAAAATACTTTTACAAAATCATATCAGTTATTACATTTTTCCTTTTTTTTTTTTGTTTTTTTGTTTTTTTGTTAATAACCAGGATATGGAAGTCTCTTGGAAGAACTTTAAAATTTGCATGATTCTCTCCACAGATGACTAGAGCTCAACAGCCTGACCAAAGTGGCTTGCGGGAGGCAAGCCCACGCCCACTGCCCTCAAGACAGAAACGTGCTGTGACGTCAGGGTCAGAAACGGGGTCTTAAAGACAACCCTCTTGGGCCTGGAATGAGGAGTCATAAAATACTTCAATTAGCCATTAATGCTTTAAAAAGGCATTATTATTTTTTTTTTTAAAAAGTCCCACCACAAAGGCTCAACTTCAAGTACTAATTTAATGGTTAAGTTGTAATATTTCTTTGAAATAATATTCCTATGGTCCAGAAAAAAGTCACCATATTTATAACTGATTTTATGAGCAAACACTTTCAATTATGATATGTACATGAGTCCCTTTTGATCTAATGAGAGGAGAGACCTGGCTTTCAATAAGAATTCACTAGAAAATATATTTCCGTTGTGACTATATAAAACTAATGAAGGTACTTGCCTCCATGGCTCTGGGTTGAGCTTGACTGCCTGCCTTCTGTATAAAAATGTTATCCTTCATGAAACGCTGGCCACTTTTAATAAGAAACATGGCAGAATGTTTACCCAGTTTGTTCTTATTAATAAAGCCTACTGCTGGGTGGTTTTGAATATATTACTTTTTAGGCATATCTCCCCAATCTGTTTTCACTCCTTTTCCAGCTTCTAGGACAGAGGTATGTAGTCAAAGAATCCTATGGTGGATCTGAGTTGGGTTTCAGCTACTGTACCTGGTCCTCATGAATTAAAAAAAAAAATCAAAAGAAAGTCACAAAAACACATGACAAAACAACTTAAAATAAATAAACAAAATGAAGATGTCTCCAGACCTTTTGTATCTACACACAGGTATGAAGTCAACCAAAGCATTCATGCCAATCTAGATGGGAGCACTAGGGAGACAGAAACCCCGTTATGAAGTCATATACTTGAGCTGGTTCTTATTTTTAAAAAGTCCCAGATTATGGAGTTCGGGTAACCCACAGGCCATACACCAATAACTAGAGGATTTCATCCAAAAGGGCTAAACTGCCCTTGTTTTTAAACAGAGACTGGAAACACAGACTCTTGTGCAAAAGGATACTGTCTCTTCTGTTTCCCTCTTAAAAACCAACAATAAAAAACTTCCTGTGGACCAGTGGTTTGGGGCTGCACACACCGTAACACTGGCTAAAAGTCACTGCTTATTGGAAGTTTCCAGGTCCATGAGAGAAGTGTCAGTGAATCCCTCTGGTAATGAACACTGCAGAAATGACATGTGCCTGCTGAGGAGTAATCACAGTGCAGGACTGTGGAGAGTGGTCTCAAGAAGAGGATGTGGGGCATTTGCAGAGTGTAGCAGGTTTCTTGGACTGAGGTTGCAGGGAGGAGGAACTGAGCCAGAGAGAACAAGTGCTTTTCCAATTAAAGTATATTCATGATGGCATTGTACAACTGAGTGAGCACCACAAAGTGGACGGGAAGGCAGGAGGTACGGTCCTGGGTGGCCGGATTGCACGTGAGCCAGGACAGAGCGTTGTACTGCTCCAAAACAAACCTGCCGGAGAGAAGACACAGGTCAGGGGGGGCACAAGGTGAGGCACAGGGGAGGCTGACTCTACATCTGAACATTCCAGATGTCGGTGGGGGGGGCGGTGGTGGTGCTGGATCATTCTTGCCCTTGTCCCATGTCTCCCTGCGGTACTTTTCCCCATGCACCCGCTTCACCTAGCCCAGCACTACTGGCCGCCGCAAGTGGAGTCCCATGTGCTGTCTGTATGAAACAGGCACCGGGTTTCAAGGAATTCATAGTAAAAAAAAAAAAAAAGCCTGTGAAATAGCTCATGGATATTTTTATATTAACTATTGAAATGATACTGTTTTTCATATACTTGATATTATTCTGATATATTTTTGATACAACTGATATTTATTATTAAAATTAACTTCACCAACTTATTTTACTATTTTAATATTGCTACTAAAAAAATTTAATTAGGTATGTGGCTCCCATTATATTTCTCTTGGACAGTGCTGCACAAGAGACCCTGAAAGCCAAAATCATGTTGATTGGGTTCTTGCCTAACTATAATTTCCAAATCATTTAAGAGCTACCAAACATTAGAAAAAGCTTGCCTACTTCCTCAAGGTACATGAAGAATGTTTATGGCCTGCTAAAGTGCAAGAGAATTAGTGCACACTTCTCGGAGAGATTTCCCAACTACGGAATTTATGTTCTGGTTAATTTTATTTATATAATCTACGTCAGGGGGAGTAAAAGAGATGCTTTCAAAGCCAAGTGCTTTAGGTTCCAGGCTCTGTCTTCTAACCACCCACCCCATAATTCTGATAGATTTTCATCACCATAAAATGCCTCCTTTAAATAGGAAGCAAGGGCAACTGTACTCGTACATACCTAATTTAACCAAGTAGACTACCCTCTCTGTCCGGTGCTCACACGGGGGACTGTCGCTCTCACTGGCTGATCAGACAGTGCTCCCCTGCCCAAAAAGTAGCACCCTTTCCACATTTTAATTAAACACCTTGGAAAGACAAGACTGAAGGAAGATTACTTCAAACTGTACAGCTACGTTGCCTACGTTTGTATCTACCTTAAAACATCAGATGTGGTTTTGGAGTCAAGAGGATGTGGAACCCGTTGAGAATTCCTGGCAGGGAGAAGTTCGTCCGTCTGTGCTACAGAAATGTGGTGATGCAGCGAAGCCTGGCAAAAGAACAAAGACAGTTACCTTCCTGGGCAGGAAAAAAGGCAGACCCACGTCTGCTGCAGATGCCCCCTGGAGTCCTTAGAGGAAGTCACAGCTTCTAGAAGCCTGAATTTTAGGCTCACAGTGACCCCAATGTGATCCCAAATAACTCCATATCCTAGAGTTGGAAAAAAGCTAGCTTTGCAGCAAATACAAATGCACTGCAAATGATTCGATAACGTGCCTCTTCAGGTCTTGATCTCTAGAAGGCCCCAGGGTCTGGATACGGCTGACTGTCCCCTTGTGGTGGTGGTTTAACCTGCTCTTCGACCCTGACTTCCCATAAGCTGCTAGATCTAGAGGCTCAATTAGGTTCGGATTCCTCCTGGGGAGGGAGGCAAACAGGGTGCAAGAACACTTCATAACTGGCGCTATGTCCTTCTCACTGCACCACATTAGAAGGCAGCTAACGTCCGCTGCCCCGCTGCATCCAAGAGTTAACCAGCACGCTCCATTCATTATAACGTTCCCCACCAAGTTTTCACCTAATGGCTTTAGCATAGTTTACTTTATTCAATAACTGAGAAATATAGTATGTGAAAGAGAGTTAATATATATGCTTCTCTATTTTTTAGTTTTCAGATTAATGAATTGTTGCTCTAGTAGCTTCAAAAGGCGACTGAGAAAATGTTCTGGTTTTCAGCACAATTATGAACCCATGTATTTGTTTTAGTCTCCTGCTACCACTGTTCTTTTTTATGTTCAAACTGTCTCATCACTGGGCAATGGGAACCCTCCAGTAGGCTCCTGGGTCCTTTGAAGTAACTCAATTATCTTACGCAACTTCCTTGCTTTCCGGTGTGACAACGTATCACAGGTTCATCTTGAGTATCTCTTACTTCAGACCTACAATCAGTCATTTCTTCAAAGGAACTCTGGTTCTTTCAAACGATAAATGGTATTTCAGAACCACAACTGTAGCAAGAGAGCTGTCTATGGATACTAAGCTGTCTAAGCTTTTTCAGTAGACTGAACTAAAAAACGTGTATACCTTTCTTAAGAGGGAAAAATAAATCTAGGTTCATCCTGACAAGTCTAATTTGAAATAAAGATGACATGGATTTTTATATAACTTCCTGGTTTCATCATAATATGTCATAGCCATTAAAGAAAATGGCTCCCATTGTTGCTTTCTGAAAACACAAGCAGGTGTGTGCATGCACGCATCTTATCACAATTACTACAAGGTAATCTACACTCCACAGAACGATTATATGACAACCATCCTGACTTTGTTGTGGATAACTAACACTCCACTGAACGGACGTACTAGTTTATTCAACCAGTCCCTTACTGGTGGACAGTTTGCGTGTTTCCAATCTTTTACACTTTTCATTTTCTGGTGTTGCCAGCTTCTTCTGAACAGACTTCCAGAGGTGGAATTGCTGCACCTAAAGGGAAGCGTGTGGGGTTGTGTCACCTGGCTCTCCTACTGGCGCCAGGGCCCTCTCCCCACACCCCTGCCAACAGAGCATGTTGTCAAACTTCTGGCTTCTCGCCAATCTGTGGGTGAGACATGGATTTCATTCCTGGTTCTCTCATCCAAACTGGAAGTGGGAGATCTTTTGTTTTAACCCTTAAGTTGGATGAAAGGGTTCCAAGACCTACCCAGGAAGGAGCACGTGTCAATGTAAATTCAGCTGCCTTCTGCCCTACTCTAACGAAGAAAGCTGGAGCCTATGGCAGGGGAGGAAGAGATCAGCCAATTCCGATCACCTGCGCCCCAGCTTACCTTCACCGATGGCAATGCAGCGTGGACTGACACACAACGACAGGTCCACCCGACACGTGGCCTGTGGGCCCCACAAAGTCTCCACCTTGGGTTAATGTGCTTGATTGCTTCCTTTGTGTCAGTTTTGGGTTCCTCTCCTGCATTCTACTCCCCCCACCCCAACTATAATTAAAATACCCTCAGAGTATAAGAAGATGTGAAAGAAACAGGGAAAACAGTAAGACATGGTGACTGAGACACAAGTTTCTAACCACACCTGAATTTAAGCATAAGTCCCTCCTCCCCCAAACTTCAAACATGACACCAAACCAACCTTTAGGAAGAGGGGGCACTGATTCTGAGCCTGGGGACACGATGACCAAAACCACTGGGGGAGATTCTCCGCTTTGGCAGTTGACACAAAATACCCGAGGGCCAGAGGCTGCTGCTTCAGCTCCTCAGGTGCCTCTCTAGAGAGAAGACGCTCACCCTGACTCTGAAAAACAAAATTCCAAGAGCATGATCAGCGTTTATCACTTCAAATAAAGCTTTGTACATCAACTTTTTACCAAGTCACTCTGCACACTGTGGACCCCCTTCTGGCAGCTTTTCGCACAAAAATGCCAGGTGACTGAGAAAAGTCAACAGGGGGAGGCCCGGTCTCTGCTGCATGCACAGACATTTGATGAGAAATATGGCCCAGGCAGAAGGTACCAGCAAAACTAACATCATCCGTCAAGCAAATACAGATTTTTTTGCTCTGGGTTTTTCCTGTTAAATATAAGACGTGTTCCGAGGCATTAGGTGTCAAACTAAAGGTGGAAAGAACGGCCTCTGGCAGCTGAAGGCACCCCCACACCTAGGTGCTCTTTCACCAGCCATCAACCAAAATACACGAGCGCACCTAACCGTCTACTGTCAACAACACGGATGTTAGGAAAACGTAATACTGCACCACTCCTTTGGGTGACAACAGTGTCCCTGACCTCCCAGCAGTGTAAGATCTGCTCATGAAGGGGCCTTGTTTTAATTTTCAGCAAACTCCTTAATACGAGATCCCTGTGAGAGCCTTACTGTGTGTTTTGGCAATTGATACTTTTCTCATCTTTGGTTCTTTTAGCTGGCTCCAAGAGCTGCAAATGTACCTTTTATGCAAGCAGTAAGAAGTCACCATTTGTTTTCAAAGGCCTTCTGTTTGGAGGAAAAAATTAATCCTCAACTATCACATCAAGTTGTATTAATTCTGAGTTGGTTAAAAAATAAAAACTTACTGCCACCCTGAACAAGTTCTTTCCCCTGCTGTAATGCCTTAACTGGATATCAAAGAATCTTTAATGCTTCAGAAAGAGGAACTACTGAAAGCCTCTCAGGGGTCACCTGGTTGCAGGTGCTCAGGATGGAAAAGGGCCACCTGACCAGCTTCAGAACAGTGCTGTTTAAACTCTGACATTCAATCTCAGACTTCAGGGCTTGAGGCTCTGACAAAGGCGGAAAGTACAGCAAAGCTCTGTTTCTTACAAAACTCTCATGACACTTCAAAGACCAATTCTTTGTTCCTGGATAAGCTAAAGTGCAACCATGGGCACTGAAAGGTGGTTGCTATTATTTCCATTTCACAGATAAGGTAAATGAGGCTGAGAAAGATCAAGCAAGTTTGGTCAAGGTCACCAAGCTAGAAGCCGTGCAGCTGTTAACGCTGAGCTACATCTATCAAACTCCAGGGCATGCATTCTTAATTGCTATGCTATTTGCCTCTAGAATTCACTTTAATCCAAAATTAAAACTACCTAACGTAAAATCTGTGATCTTGGTTCCTATCACAACAATCTCCAAAGAAGCAATTAACTGTCATTAACTGGCAAATGATTATGGAGGAAATAAAGACACTTAATGAGCTCTTCCTTCTAGAAAGGAGGACTGGGGGACAGGCAGTTACATGAGGGTAAGTCTACTGAGTCGCTCTTCCCTGGTTTTATCTGCTCTGTGACTAACATTTTAAATCTTCCTTCTCTTGCCTGGCCCTCAATGAACTCCAGGCTGGCAACGAGAGTCCCAAGGACAGAAACCTAAGTCCTCTTACTACAGCTCTGTCTTTAAATGAGGGTGAGCAGAGTTGTTTATGCTTGCCCAGTTTAACATAGTAGACGGAGCCATTTTTCTATGTCTTAAACCTCAATCTTGCAATATTTTAAATAAAAGGTACAAAAGAGTGATAAGGCATGAATCATCCAGCTTTTAAACAAAATTAACAGAGGCTACAGCAGAACCTTTAACTCTTCGATCCTGTTAATCCACCTCCAATATCCTTGGGATATTTAAAGATGAAACTAGTTGTCAGCTCTGATGTTTCGCCTTAATACTGGGGCATCAACCTGGACACTTCTCCAAAATCAACCTTTTGTGGGCCCTTGCCATTTCAAAACCTGGCTACAGAGAGACTGGAACTATATATAAATCAAGGCACCATGACATGACACAAGAAGAGTAAAGCTCATTTCAGAATAATCAACCATCAACAATGTGTTCTTCAATTAAGACATGTTAAGTAAGTAGGGCTGTCGAACTAGCCTCTGAAAAGCCACTATTTTGGCAAAAAAATAAAATAAAAAATAAATAACCGGGAAGCAGCAAGCATCCAAAAATAAATTTTGCAGAGAAAACAATCATTGCAAAAAAGCCTTCCTGCTACAATAGGACTATTCTTCTGATAAAACATATTCATCAGGAACATTTTCAGGAATAATAATCCATTTCTTTCTAATTCGTGCCTTCAATCAAAACAGAACAACTACAGAGTCACTTTTCCACACTGATTTCTCTTGTACCAGGGACCAAGACCATCAAGAAGAACAGTGCATGAAGTAAAGAGGCAATCACCCTTCCGGAGGATTATTTTCCCTGAAGGCCAAGGTTGTTTTAACAACATACTTGAAATCATCCTTACCCGACTGTGCTGGAAGTGAGAGCCCACACCAATTCCAGAAGGAGAGCCTGGGGAAGGAACTGGGGAGGAGTTGGGAGAGGAATGGAGGTTCCCAGTCATTAATATGCCAATGTCATTGTCCATATCATCTGGGAATGGAAGGTCAACAAACATGTCATCTAGAAAGAAGGGAGAAAAAGCACAAAAATTTAAAAAATAATCCATATCCACAACTTAAACAATATTCTGTTTTGTTGGCCCATGACTGTTACAAGCACATGCTGTTAACAACTTAGTAAGATTTATTAACGTGTGTCTACTGGTGCAAGGCGCTGAAAATTATTTTTGCATTTTGTATTCTCTTCAGTGATCTTCTAATGTGAAGTATTAACAGACTGGAGAAATAAAGAACATAAAACAGAACTCCACACTCTGTATAGCTTCCGAAGGCACATAAAAAGATGGTGAAACAGCTAAAGAAGCAATTTAATTATTAAACAAAGTTAAAACTGACACCATCCTAGAAAACAGCAGACTCCATCTATGCATCCAATTAGCATCTAAAATCCTGGAGGCTGAATTAATACATGTTAATAGGTGTGAACTTGCCCTGAAACTGGAGGCCTATTCCAAAAGCAGATCAAAGCATGATGTTTTCATTAAGAAATCTTCTCCCACATTATAAAAGTAAGGTACACACACAGCAGAAAATTTGGAAAGAAAAGTATAAAAAGGGAACACCATCACCCAGAATACAAGTACTGTGAACGTTTTTGCTACAATTCTTTTTCTCATATCGTTACTCCATTATGATCACACTATCTATAAAATTTAGTATCCTTTTACCCTCCCCCTCTAACAGGAGTAAATGCGGGTAGCTATTAAAAAAATCTTCAAAAAACAATGCAAATGGCTACATAATACTGGGCATTTTAGTTTGCAAGTCATCACTACTTTACTTAACAAATGCCTTAAGAGATAACCAAACCAAAAAAATTTATTAAGAATAATCAAATAAGGAGTTGTTTTGAAGCAAATTAGATTCCCAATGATCAGCTAAAGACAGGAGCTACTTCACACTGCCTGGGAATCTGCATACGCTTCAAATCAGATCAGCAACTGTTTACTGAAAGAGCAGCCCCCATGTGCCGGACACTACCAACCAGGTATTTTTTTGCCTTTGGGGAAGAACAGTAGAAATTTAATTACACAAGAGAGGAAAATACTTATTTGGTCTTGGTAACAGTGTCCATGAACCTTCAAAACCAAACAGATTCTCCAACCTTCAATCCCCTCTTCATATTTTATATGTTGTTTATTGTAACACATGCAGCAGCCCACTGACTCCAATACTTCAGCTCTGCGTCTTGCTAGAGAATTTGAGCTCTATCCTTACATGGCCTTCCACACTCACCATTGTTGGGGCTAAACCCATCTTCATTGGGATAGTTGGCTGGAGCCACCTGGATGGTTGACGATGTTGGGAACACCAAGATGTGTGTACAGGAAGCATCTTGAGGGGTGTTCAGCTGAGATGACTGCATGTTCAGAGCGGTACTTCGGCCAAAAACAGAACCCATTGTGACGGCATCTTTAAAAAAAGAAAGAAAGAAAAAGAAAGAACTGTATCAGTTCCCTTCTGTGCATCAGTAACCAACTCCCGAAATGAAGTTTTAGGAGGACCTGAGCTAGAGAGACAAGAGTGTGACACAACTGGATACACATTTAAAGCTCCACCTGTGTTTATCTTCAAAAAAACAAGACTCAGGGGCACCTGGGTGGCTCAGACGGTTAAGCGTCTGCCTTCGGCTCAGGTCATGATCCCAGGGTCCTGGGATCGAGTCCCGCATCGGGCTCCCTGCTCCTTGGGAGCCTGCTTCTCCCTCTGCTTCTCTCTCTCTCTCTCTCATGAATAAATAAATAAAATCTTTAAAAAAAAAAAAAAAAAAAAACAAGACTCATAGCATACAGCTATGAAAACCCAGGCCTCATGTCATATGGGAAAGGTTAAGATAAAACTGGACTGTGCCCACCAAATATGTTTTAATTACTTATATAAGAAGCATTTCTAAAAATAAATCTCCCACTTTCTTCCTGTGGTTGCTCACAATTTATAAAGGACTATTCTAAATGATACAATTCTGTAGAAATGGTATCATTCAACTAATAACTATGATAACTAGCATTTATTGAGTGCTTACTACATGCCAGATTCTGTGCTAAACTCTGTATTCACTACATCATCTTATTCAGTCATCTACAGCTACCTCGAGGTACAACTATTATCCCCATACCATGAAGAGGACAGATAACAAAGAAGTTTTGAAATATGTCCAAATGGTGCAGGCAACAATTAACCTAGGGTCTAATATTAGAGGCCAACACAGGACATCTGCTTCTCACTGGACTGATGATGAATAAGCTCATTCTCATGCATCACTACTGATTTTTATAGGGAGTAAGTGGACAGGATGTCCCATTTGGTCAGAGACATACCTGAAGGATAAAAGCAGGCTAAAAAAGGTAGAAAATTAGAAAATTGCTTAGTTATTGCTGTGAATTGTGCAAGACTGTTGAATCTCAGATCTGTACCTCTGAAACAAATAATGCAATACATGTTAAGAAAAAAGAAAAAAAGAAGCTAGCAGGAGGGGAAGAATGAAGGGGGGGAAATCGGAGGGGGAGACGAACCATGAGAGACGATGGACTCTGAAAAACAAACTGAGGGTTCTAGAGGGGAGGGGGGTGGGAGGATGGGTTAGCCTGGTGATGGGTATTGAGGAGGGCACATTCTGCATGGAGCACTGGGTGTTATGCACAAACAATGAATCATGGAACACTTCATCTAAAACTAATGATGTAATGTATGGGGATTAACATAAGAATAAAAAAATAAAATTTAAAAAAAAATCTCTCTTCTGAATTATAATAGCATAGCTATAACTATTTCACAAAACCTTGTTTTGTATATAATGTTTTCTTAGTTACATATCTTTTTTTTTTATTCTTATGTTAATCCCCATACATTACATTCTTAGTTACATATCTTAATATGTCTTCTCTCCCCTACTTGACTGAGTGTCCTGTGACCAGATCACACCTGCTAAAACCAAAATAAGCAGTAAGCCATAAAGCCCCAAACCAGAAGAGATTAGATACCAGGTTTAAAGAAAGAAGCAGGGTGGGAGGATGGGTTAGCCTGGTGACGGGTATTGAGGAGGGCATATTCTGCATGGAGCACTGGGTGTTATGCACAAACAATGAATCATGGAACACTTCATCTAAAATTAATGATGTAATGTATGGGGATTAACATAACAATAAAAAATTTAAAAAAAATGGACTGTGGTGATAGCTGTACAACTATATAAATTTACTAAAAATAATTGAGCTGTACATTTACACTGATGAATTGTAAGACATGTAAATTATATTTCAATAAAGCTGTTAAGAGAGAAAAAAGAAAAAAGAAAATTGCTTAGTTATAAAATTACAAAATAGCTTAGTTGCTAATTTTTTAAAAATTCTGTGGCCACAATCTTTTGGCTATCCACACACTAGCACTCCCATTTACTGAGCACTTACTCCGGGCCAGATACTGCACTAACTACTTTACCTCTCTATTTGTCTCACCATTCATCCTCAACCACATCAGAAAGACTCAAATATCCTCTCGAGGCTGCTTAGAGATTGTCAAATATCTGTCTTCAAAAGGATATTCAAATATGTATCACAACAGTAGTATCCCCTTTAGGGGGTTCTGGAGGGTGATCCTCATACACTAACAACAACTGGGGTCACAGTAACTGGCCATGACTCTAAGAGCTCTCAGTCTTAGGCTCTCTTCCAAATGATGGTCAACAAAGATAACAAAATCACAAACCCCTCCCCTTGGAAGAGACCAAATTTCCATTTTTGAACCCTAAGTACAATCTTCTCTCACAAAGGTAATGAAGATCTATTCTACACTTGTCTGTAGACTTAAGTTTGAGTGAGCTGAACTGATGTGACAGCTCATTAAGGAAACTGACAAGAAGAGACTTACCTGGCATCACTACGAAGGACCCCTGGGGCTCCATGGCAACCAGGCAGGCACTAAGGATTGAAGGAGAGTCTGCGGCAGAGATTCCACACATCCGGCACACGTCCTTGAGCCGTTTGCTGATTGTCTGTAGTGAACATTCTCCAAGGAGGATACTCCAATCTGAAATCAAATATCACAGTCATACACAGTCTTTAGAAATTCATACTGATAGGAGGTTTAAGCGTTTTACCAGATTTGCCTGGTGATTGAATTTCCAGGATTGACCCTAAGGGGAATAAGGCTTTACACAGGTTCCCTTTCTTGCTACAAAGAAAATGTTACTTGACCTCTCTTACACTTCATTAACAAAGAAACAAAGGCCTACTATTCTGTCAACTGAAATCATGTCTGAAATGAGCTGGGAGAGTCCAGCACAGACCCACATAGGTTCAGGTGCTTCAAATGCTTTTTTGATGATGAGGCCAATCTGTTCTATCCTTTCTTCTCCTCCTCTTTCTCCAGGTCTGGTTCATTCACTGTCCCTCCACCCCCCACCCCCATCAGCACTTTTCTTTAGAAGAATGCACAGTTGGAGGCAAACCTCAGTTCTGTTTACTGTTGTAGGTTGGTTGTTTCCATGAAAGGCAGTGCAGAAATAAGGGGAACCCTTCTCAGAAGGCCCAAGAGAGCTGATAAACAATGGGTGTGAATGAAATGCTCCAAATGATGTCACACTAATTGTTCCAGATTAAAACGCTGGCACAAATTTTCTGATATTTGTTTATTGCCTCCACATAAAGGCACTATGTGTACTCAGAGAACAGTAGAGGGTTACGTTACTCTGGCAATGGAAAAGTACTTAGTCTTCTCTTTGACCTCCAACACACACGGAACACGCCATGCTCCTGCAGCAGCACGCACTACCCATGTCCCGCCCCACCGTCCCACTGAGGAAAGGCCACTCCACCACACGTTTCCACCTTCACATAGTTTTTTCAAACACACTGTTCTCCCCTTAAAGAAGTGAAAGGAACAAATGTTTCTTATTTCATATTCCTAAAGAACCTTAAACTGAAATGGCTGAAATAAAAGTGAAATAAAAGACATGAAGAATGTATTTTTAAAAGCCACAGAAAAATCAAACAGGCATGAGTTTTGTATTTAAAACCATCTAAGAAAGGAAAAGCAGTATCTGTATTTTATCACAAATACTCTGATAATAAAAAACAAAAATTCACACAGTCGACTCTGAAATCTGTAGGCTCACATGTGATGCTGTTCCACAGAAATGCAATGTGGCGCAGACCTCAGGTCCCCAAAGGAAAGAAATGATCGGTAAACTGATTTCCTGTACACTAGGCTCTTCTCGGTGTCTCTGTCCCTTGAAAGTACATTGTCTCTCAACCTTTTGATGGGATCAGTCACACTTCTATTCCTTTCACCTAAGAGATAAGAAGAGTGTGCCCCTGCTGACACACACACACACACACACACACACACACACACACACACACACACACGGGAAGGCAATGGCCTTAATAATTGTCCGAAACACCAAGTGACTAGACTAGTAGGCTACATTTTTATCCTCTCTTCTTCTTTTCTATTATATTCTAACTTTTCCCAAGGGTTAAAAGCAGCTCAAACCCTTTAAGAGATAACAGTGACTATAAGGCATACCAAGAGATGGGATAGGGATTCTGACAGAAATGAAATGATGAATCCCCTAATGCATCAGGCCTCCAGGCTACCAATACAAGATTCATTTTTAAAGAATATCATACTTATAAATGAAAAGGGTAATATTTTTTATTTAATTAGTAAAAAAATTTTTTGCACACAGTAGATTCCTAAGCAAACACCTGTATTTAATACTTATGTAACAAAATGTATGTTAACTTACTAGAGCACTTGCTACAATGTAGGCTGTATCTGTATCAGGGGTTTTATTTCAGAGGTTCGACGAATACCTGATATAAATTTCATGCAAAGAAACAATACATGCACTCTAATGCAACGGTTCCGCAAACTATGGTCTGCAGGCCAAATCCTGCTCACCACTTGGGTCTGTAAATAAAGTTTTATTGGAACAGAGCCAAATGCATTCACTTAGGTGTTGTCTGTGGCTGCTCTGACCTTACAATGGCAGAGTTGAGAGGCTGCAACAGTGACAAGCTGGCCTGCAGAGCTGAAAATATTACCTGGCCCTTTACATAGAAAGTTTGCTGACTCTGCTCTAATACACTTGAATGCACAAAACCACCAAGCTAATCTGTGACATATGCTTTGCTTTTGTGGAGACGTTAGGGAAAAAAACAAAAAAAAAAACCCTCCCATCTATGCGTACATACTGAACTTTTTATAAACGTGTCATTGATTAAGTAAGGCTTTAAAAAAGGCAATCTAGAACTATTCACACTGCTCATGTAAAGTGGCTATAGTAAGACAGCAAACGAGCTTGGCACAAAGCCAGGCAACACCGCTGCCAGTGGTCAGCTGTGCTGTTCGTTACTTTTAGTGCTTTGTGACTGTTATATTTATGACGGGAAATATTAGCAGTTGGTAGGTAGATTTGGGGATTCAACTTAAAAAGTCTGCTCTCTTAAGAGTCCAGACTGAAGTCTATCAGACAGTGGCAATGTGAATAAAGACCATTCCAACTTACAACTACTTGTCCTTATAAATCAGGATTATCTTGCCCTTGTGCCACCAACACAAAATAAATACAAACTACATCACGACATCAATCACCAAAAATAAAGAGACAGAAGTCTATTCTTATATATGACTTCTACTATCATCCATAATCTCTCATTTAAATTTTCGTGTTAAAACTGACTTGATCTCACTGACTCAGTACATAAATAAACGTTAGAAGTTCTAATTTACTATCACTTTTATATTAATAAAACATTCTTTTTTCCTGTCTTATATATTGGGGTTCAGTATTTAAGATTTTCTTTGGTAAACAGTTTTGTTGATAATGAGAAGTTTAAAAACTGCACTTAAAACTACATTTAAAAGAATCAGAAAATATAAATCTGCTTTATTCTTACTACTAACTTTATAATTTTCTCCCTCAGCTCAGTTAGGGACATTAGCTTAACCCTTTTCCTTTGTTTCCTGTACTGATTGCTTCAGGAATCTCTCACCTTTAAGCTCCCCATGGCCAAGCCGCCCAAGTCGGCCGATTACAACTCTCCAGGGTAGAGATGTCATTTGGACAATACCGATGCACCACTCCCATAACTTCTGTAGTCCAATTTTACGTGCAGATACTTTACTCCTCCGTGATCTAAAAAAGAAAGAAGTGAGCAAGGGGTCCCCAAATGAGTCAAAGTTATCACTTAGCAAGACAAAACCCAGAAAATTCCAAAAAGCCCACCCACACAGCACCCGCTGCATTTAGACAGGAAAATCAGAATGACTCATATCTGAGGAAAGGCACAGCATCAATTTATATGCAACATAAACACCAAGGCTCCTCACCTGTTTGGTAAAGCAATATTTACAATACAAGTTTCTAATAATTCCCCATGGAGGTCAGTGCAGGAAGCCAAAAGCCAGCGCTGGTCATGAGACAGACAGTAGCCCACAAAGAGCACGTTGTATTTCTGGCTCGCCTCCCCAAATGTCTCTCCCAGCTCCGTCTGCTTGTCTTTGATTGGGGCCAATATAAAAGGAGGGGAATAAAGCTGGATTGGGCTGGGTCGCTGAAATCAAAATAAAAGTCAGTATCAACACAAAGCCACCCAACTCAATGTTTACAACAAAACCCCAATTAGCACTTGAAACCAATAGGGAGTAATGACAACAGACTGCCCCCCAGAAGTATTACATACATAAATAGTAAGTGATAAGACAGAAAACAAGAAGTGTTTACGTGACATCAGCTAGGGAACCCCAATCAAGCCAGTGTTTCCTTATTAAAAGGAAATTACTATTTTAGAAAGTAAACTGGCCCCACTTCGTTAGTCATCAGGAAAGCAGAAATTAAAACCACAATGAGATACTACTACATACCCACCAGAATGTCAAATAAAAAAGAAAACACCAAGTATCAGTGAGAATGTGGAGCAACTAGAACTTTCATGCACTGCTGGTGATGCAATCTCTTTGGGAAAGTGACAGTCTCTGCTAAAGCCAAACATATACATACCCTGTGACCCAATCCAATGGACATATATGTTTACCAAAGGGCAGGTGTAAGACTGTTCACAACAGTTTTAATCCTAACAGCTCCAATTAAAAAATAACCTAAATGCCCATCACCAGTAAAATGGAAGATAAACTGTGTTACAGTTATACAATCAGAATATTAAACAGCGAAGACATGCAAAACTACACTACCTGCAACAGAACAGATGAATCTAGACACTGGAGAAAAGAAGCCAGACACAGAAAATACCAATTATATGACTCAATTTACATGAAAGTCAAAAACAGGCAAGAAATGTTTCTGTTAAGTCAGAACACTGATTACCGATAGAACGACTAGAAGGGACATGAAAGATGTTTCTCGGTGCTTCTTAGGTTTTGTTTCTTGTGCTTGTTACATGATGTGTTTAGTGAAAATTCATCAAGTGGTATACTTATGATTGGGTACTTTTCAGTATGTATTTATACTTTAGTGTGTGTGTGTGATTTAAGAAATCAAAGCATTAGCTGTTACCAGTTAAGACAAATATTTTAAACAAACTGTGACAAAGTTTAGTTGTCACCATTTTTTTTACAGCTATTATACACATTTCAACATTTAATAGCCTACAGCAGGGGTCAGCACACTTCCATAAAGGACAGACAGTAAATATTTTAGGCTTTATGGGTCTCTCTTCTTCTGAGTATTCTTCTCTTTTTAAAAATGTAATAATCATTCTTATCCAGGTCATACCAACACAAGCTGTAGCAGGCTGGATTGAGCCCACATAGTTGCTGATCCCTGAATGAATACATATTCATACATACAAATGTACACATAGCATACACTGATTTATGGCATAAAAATAGTAATAACGAAATTACAGAATTTTAAAGCTAAAATAAAGACCTGAGAAAGAGTCTAGTCCAATTCCTTCATTTTAGGGATACAAAATACAGGGCTAGAGATATTCAATAATGTGCTCGAAGTTTCAAAGCTAACCTTATCATCGACCCATTCATTTTCCCTATACCTGGAAAGTCTACTCCTAGGTATTTACCAAGAGAACGGAAACCATTTTAAACATAAACACTTGTGCACAAATGTTCAAAACAGTATTACTCACAATAGCTAAAAAGTGGAAAAACCCAAATGTCCATCCACTAAAGAATGAGTAAACAAAATGTGGTATATACCCATCCAGTGGAGTATCATTTAACCATAAAAAGAAATACTATACATGCTATGACATGAATGGACCTTGAAAACATGCTAAATGAAAGAAGCCAGACATAAAAGATTACATATTGTATGATCTATTTATAGGAAGTGTCCAAAACAGGAAACTCCATAGAGACAGAAAGTAGACTAGTGGCCGTCAAGGGCTGGGGGAGGGGAAATGAGTGGCTGCTGATAGGTATGGCGTTTCTTTCCAGGTTGGCAAAATGTTCTAAAACGAGACAGCAGTGATAGTTGTACAATTCTGTGAACAAACTAAAAACCACTGAACTATGCAATTTTTAAAAGGGTGAATGTTGTAACATGCGAATTATGCCTCAATAAAGCTTTCAAACAAAACAAAACAGTCCAGGTGAGACCGCCTGAAAAGTTTAGCAAAAAGTAAAAGGTTAAATGTCAAATATCTTAGATGCAATAGACAGCCTGTGATAAATCACAAAGTAAAATACTATTCCCAAACTGCTTTTCAGATACCGGATATTCTATGAAAAACAAAAGTGACACCACCAACAGGATTTCTTCTAATACTTGCACGGTATATACTAAAATCCATTCCTTCTTATGTAAAATGCGCTTGCATAAGACTGTGCCGCAGTAGAGATTCAGAATTCCCGAATGCAGAGGCCTGGCTGTCAGGCTCCCCACCGCGTCCTCAGCACCTACCCTAGTGCCTGGCACACAGCAGACACCGGGCTGCATTTACTGAATGAAAGTGCCCTGTTCTAGCTGCAGACTGAGGGGAGCGGCAGCATTTAGCAATTAACCATTACCATATACATGTAAAAATTTATAAACCTCAGGAAATACTCCTAATATTTGATTTTGTTTTTAATAAAGTCAAATGATTTCTTTCTCTTCCTGTTTCAAAGCAAAAGGGGGAAAAAGGCTTATTTTTGCCATTTATTTTCATCTAGATTCATCCATTTATCTCAGGAACTATTGACCGTGTGTTCTGCCAGTACGTTATAAACTTTAAAACTTTTAGGTAATGCCTCAGGACATCTTTTTTTTTTTTCTTTAAAGATTTTATTTATTTATTTATTAGAGAGCTAGCAAGAGAGAAACAGCATGAGAGAGGGGAGGGTCAGAGGGAGAAGCAGGCTCCCTGCTGCGCCGGGAGCCCAATGTGGGACTCGATCCCAGGACCCTGGGATCATGACCTGAGCCGAAGGCAGTCGCCCAACCAACTGAGCCACCCAGGCGCCCACCTCATGACATCTTAATACAGGTAGTCGGCCTTTGCTCCCCTCTATGAAAATGCAGAACACTATCAGTTATAATTTGAAATTGCGATAACTTCTTACCAACGCATAAGGAATGACTGCATCTGAACTGCAGAATAACCACAAGAGGTAAAGAACTAAAAAGTTCTACGTTTTTTCTTTAAAGATTTTATTTATTTATTTATTAGAGAGCGAGCGAGAGAGAAACAGCATGAGAGGGGAGAGGGTCAGAGGGAGAAGCAGGCTCCCCGCCGAGCCGGGAGCCCGATGTGGGACTCGATCCCAGGACCCTGGGATCATGACCTGAGCCGAAGGCAGTCGCTCAACCAACTGAGCCACCCAGGCGCCCCAAAAGTTCTACGTTTATAAAGAAAGGCAATAACTCAATTTCTGGAGACAAAAGAAGAAACAAGTAGAAATAATTTTTTTTTTTAAATTCTAGAAAAAGCTAACAGAGAAAATAGATGAACTGTTCACAAAAGTGAAAAAATTAAAACTCCAAAGAATAAACCAACCTGAACTGCCAAAGACAGAAACTGTACATAACTGCAGAATAAATGTGGGTTGTGGGCTGAGCCATTTCTTCTGGATCAAGTGACAACAAATGTGGTATTAACCACATGCCTAATTTTTTCCCACTTCTAAGTTTTTATTTATCTAAGAGAGAAGCATTTCATTGTGTTTCCCAGGAAAACTTACATTACCAACTAAAATCAGCAGGTTTTGGTGTTTTTAAGTTCTTTTATACGGCGAAGAAGTGTTTGCTGGCTTTTACTAACAGGTAAACTTTCATGCAAGGAAAGCTGTGGGAACTGATTTCTGAAAGCTCTGAAACTTCTAAACACTGTCCTGTTCACCTATCTTCAGGATAAAATGACGAGTAAAACAAAATATACAACTTTTGTTTGGTGTTTTAAAATTCCTCTAGAGGTACATATTTGTGGGAAGTAGATTTAAGAACATGGAGAGAAAAAGCACTCATTCATAAAGCAGAAGCACGGAGATACGGGGAGAGAAAGCAAGCCCTGTAAAAACGCGCCTCGGAAAATGAGGAGCCCCTGCCGAGTGAACACAGGCAGAGCTGCTGCGCCAGGAGAGAAGAGAGGGTGGAAGGAAGAAAGTCCGTGGCTGAAGAGCAGATTAGCTTCAAAAAATAAGAAAACAAAATAAACAGAGGCAAGTCCAACTCAGTAAGTAAAGGTGATGGGTATATTGGTGCCTGAGGTCCTACATCCAGAAACACCGAGACTTTGCTTGCCTCTTTTCTCAAGAAATCTCACAAGTTTAGAGAAGTACCTCCTCTATTTTAAACTAAGGATCAGAGAAACCTCCCAGTGTTAACAAAGGCCGAAGGCCCCCAGCTGCCAACTCTCTAGGATAAAAGCACTCTCGGGGCAGTTTCTGCTGTGCTACCACCTACCTCTGGGTTCTTGAGGGTCATCTCGATGCTGGCGGCAGGCCCGAACCCCGTGAGGGACTTAATGTGGATCTGCGTGGGCAGCGGTCGCCGGCACTGACAGTACACGGAAAACGCCATGGACTTCAAGCACTGAATGTAGAACACCTGCTCGTCCTTCATTGTCTGCAGCATGTACTGGCAAGGCACGATCTACACGCACAAACACAACCAGACGCTGAGACCTGCTGCGCTTGGAAAGTGAAATGGCACCAATTCTGTGCCCAAAGAGGGCAGGAGCTTTAGTTTTAACATAGGTAAGGGGCGCCTGCCTGGCTCAGTCAGTGGAGCATGCAACTCTCGATCTCGGGGCTGTGATTTCGGGCCCCACACGGGATGCAGAGATTGCTGCAAATCAAATTAAAGCAAATATAATACATATATGTATATACAATTTACATAATTTAACTCAATTCCTTAGATGACAAAAAACCCTCTATTATAAAGATACACCAACAACTGAAGAAAATATGTCAACTTGTTGGTCAAGTTACAGTCACTTAGAAATCACCCTGTTCCTTTTTTAGGGATAAAGTGTCAATTTATTGTTGCCATGCTCCAAAATGTTAAAACTTGCTTCTTAATGTAGTTCTCCTTTTTATCATATATACACGTAGTGTGCGTGGTAACTTTGGAATTATTGTCTAAGGATGTGAGACACAAACTTCATGATGAAAAACAATCAACAACCTATTCTGGTAACTTTAATCTCAGTGTTTTAATTCTGTAAGATGGCTTTAGTGAAAGTGACAGTAAAACAAAACCCAAACACCCAAGGTATCATTCTTCACCTGTTATCAAAATCTTGTAAAATTATTACACTGTATAAAGCTGGCAAGGCGGTAGTGAAAGACGCACACTCACTGCTCAATGAAGGGAATGCAAATAAACGTAACTTTTCTGGAAAGGAATCTGGTATTATTTATCAGTACTATATCTAAGAATGACCTGAAGTGTGAAAAAGGGATTATAAAGATGTTTATTTATTACAGCTTTATTTATAATAGCAAAATTTAGAAACAAATTAAATATCTGTACAGTAATAATTAAATATGGAGAACATGCACTCCTTACAAATGCTGCTTGTAAGAATTTTAAACAACATGGAAAAGTATTCATGAATAATGTTAAGTATTAGAGAATAAAAATTATACTAAAAGTATGACTGCAACTCTGTAAACAAACATACACAAAAAAGGCTAGAAACACACCAAAATGTTATGCAATGGTGACTTAATCTAAAGGTAGAATTATGAGTATCTTTTCCTTTATACCTTTCATGTACTTCCAATTAAAAAAAAAATCATGAACTTGTATTTCACAAAAAACAACAACAAAAGTGAAAAATAAAGTTGCAAATAGTTACCTGGAGAATGAAAGAATTTCTCATATGCTCAGGTAAATTATCTAGCATCTCTGTGTAGCAGCGCATCAAACTCAACAGCCAAAAGTTTCCAGAAGTGGAGTCTTCGTCTGCGGTGTAAGTGAAGGGGTCCACCATGTAAATGACAACTGCTGGAGGATAGGCCTGGCTGTCTGCAGAGTCAGGCTCAGTGGGAATTCCTATTCTCTCTCGTTCTGTGACACTGCAGAGAGAGCCACTTATGAGATGCACAAAATAAATACAAGTCACACAAAATAAACCAGTTCCAGCGCACACCGACCCCCTGGACAATGATTACAGATTAAATATAACATCAATATGTGTATTACCAAAATGAAAGCAAACCAAGCCAGTTAGTACCAAGACAGGTGGGAAATGACAATATGCTCCTTTAAATGGGAGATCTCTTTTTCCACTCCCTCTTTTTCCTGGGGCCATATTCTAAAAAGATGTTTTATAATACTATTAATGTTAGTGGCAATGGCTTACTAGTGCTATTATCCATATATTCTGTTCACACAGTAATAGAATTATCAGTAAAACTTACTACGAAGCTAATAAGTTTATAAGAAGTCTCAAATTTCTTAACACTGAAGCAACGGACTGACAGTTGTTACTTCCTTTTGGGAAGAAGAGAAACAGAGCACTTCACTAGATAGAGAGATTCATGAGGTTGAGGGGGACAGCTGCACGCAGAAGAGTAAGTAAGGAGTCCAAGCTAAAGCCACTCGTCTCAGTCGGCAAACAACATACCTTTCTTGTCCATCCTGAGAGGGCTGAGAGGAGCTCTGCCCAGGCTCAGTGTCTCCACCACAGCCTATGTTCCCTTGCGTTCTATCTGCAGAACTGGCCCCAGTGCTGGGGTTCTGCCCTCCAACACTAGCACTGAATCCTGAAGAAGAGGTAGTGCTGATCTGGTTAATAACGGGAGCAGGGGCAGATGATGAGACGGGTGGCACAGAGGAACCAGATGCGGAGCTACTTGCTGCAGGGTTCCCAGCACTGCTGTTCGAGGTGGGATTGAATGCACTGCCAGTTGAGGGTGCTGCTGATCCTGAATTTGAAGCTAGAGGCCCAGCGTTCCCAGGTGTAGCTTGTCCCTGTGCTGCTGCTGGTGGGGACTGGTACTTAGGTGGTATCAACAAGCTGCTATCGAGCTGCAGAGTGGCTAGATAAGGTGCTGAAAGAGGACGTGCAGAGAGGTGACATCAGTGATGTTCTGCAGTGTCGGACTGAATCAGAAATTCAGAATGGCCACTTTTTTTAAAATTATGCTTTCAGGCTGCAGTACTCTGATTATGACACCCAAAATGCTATCTCCACACTTGAATATATGCTTCCATATTCTGCAAACATGGAGATGAACACGAAGCTACTTTTTATAAATTCTGGTGAAGAGGCTTATTTGAAAAAAAAAAAGAAAATTAATCCCTTGTAACATTTCCCTTTCAGACTGACTCTGCCTGCCTGCACTGAAAACGGAGAGGCCATCTATTCTATCGCCACCGCGGTATTCCAGGCTCCTCTGTGTCCTGAGCTTTAAAAACCTCCAAGATTCTCTTGGGAATGTCAGTTAAACTTAAGCAGTTAATACCAAGTCCTGCTGCTAAGTTTTCAAAATGTGGAGTAAATGAGATATGACTTCTTCAGGCAACTTTAAATTGCTTTTGAAGAATGTGTGTGCACATAAAAATTAGCATTTAACGACCTAGAACACAGAAATTAGACCTAAATAAACACAGTAATGGAACACTAACATTACCTGAGACGAAAGTAGCATAATGCTGCTTCCCAAAGGGGGACAATTTGCTATTTTACTTCTCAGATTCTACTTAGCCAAATAAATTCCCATTTACCTAGGTGATGGCGGCAAACTTGCGCATAAAGTTTGAGTCTGGAATGATTGTCATTCTCCTCACTGCTCCATGGCTGGTTGAACCACTCGCTCACAAGCTCGTCAGTCAGCTTCTGGGCCACGGTCTTTCCCACGCGCATGATTCCATCTCGTAGCACTTTGCAGATGGGCTTGTGCTGCCCAAGCCTACACATCTGATACCACAAGCAAGATCATTATTTACAATAGGAACCACTCCTGCCGTCAGTGGGGAAAACTATCATCCACATGGAAGTATTTTGCTTTTTTTTTTTTCTTTTAGCATTAACACAAGCAACCAAACCAACATTATACGCTGGTCCTTTCTGGTAATTATAATGTATGCTGAGACTGCTATCCGTCTCTCCAAAAACTGGCCTAGACCCTCTAAAGAAAAATAAATGTTTCTTCACCCCAGCCAATTCCTCCCATACAAGGGAAGATCGCTGAGCACTACCTGACTGCTAATGGTCAAATAAAGAATTAACCAGATTCCTGCTTACTAAGGCTGACTGAGACATATGTCCACTAAAACCTCTTAAGTAATCCCTACTCATAATGTTTTCCCATAAGATAACATTAAAATTTTATGGGCCATCTGTTACACTGTTACATTTGGAGATCACCAATAGCAGAGGCCACTGAATCAGTGGATATGCTGATCACTTTTTAAAAGTAAACAGTTGTTTTAAGCACAATGAGATTCTGTTCTTAATCTCCAGAACATTAAATGGGTACTTACGGCAAAGAATTAATATAATACACCTGCAAAAAATAAGCTACTTAACTATCTATTCACCAACAGGAGAGCCCACATTATCCCTTATTAGAGGTGATAAATGAAGGCTTACCAAGCCCCTACAAAGTTCTCTAGCACACACTTTTTTTTTTTTTTTTT